CAAACTAATTCTGAACTTTATTTCAACAAGCCTCAGCAAAAGGCAAACAACAATCCATATGTTTCTATGAATTTGGGAATGACAAAATGGAAACACGCCTTTAAAAAAAAAAAAATATGTGCTCATGCCATGTTCGCAGCTAGAGACTGGGAGAGCACATGAAAGTCCAAAAATAAAACTTGACTAGAAGCAAAAGCAGAAGTTTTTCCTTCTGTCTAAATGAAGGGAAACATAAACAGTGAAGAACCAATAGCAAAATGTCAATTCTGTTTTAGCAAGATTTTTAATGGCATGCTGTAAAACAACAAGAACAAAATTTATCCTATAGCAAATAGGGTATCTTATAATATCCTAAAATACATCCCCTAAAACCACCAAGAGTTCAGAATAACTGTTTTTCTGCACAGTAAAATCACTCATACATGAGATTTCTTAGGCATAAGCTTTAAACTGAGAGTCATTTAAAATGCTTTCTGGGTGAGAAGTTACTCTCACACTGGTTTTATATGAAAATATGAATTACTGTTAAGGGACAGCTGCGTGGTGCTCTGCCACCCCTGGAGCTCACTCCTCAGCAAAGACAGCCAAAGGCATGGCTATTAGGCAAATTAGGAACTGTTTAAAGTACTGCTAGAAGGGCTTCTTTTGGGAAAAATATATTTGCAAAAATATATTCATTTTTATAGCAAACAGCAGGGTCATAATATATTCTTTGCAGAGGTGTTGTGCTATAGCAGCTGCTTATGAATCCCACTAAATGAGGTAATGTAGCAAACTTCACCTGAAATCAAACCATCTTTTGTCTCCCAGGATGACAACATTAAATAGGGCAGAAATGGCTACCTGCAGCAGGACTGCTCAAAGAGTAACCTTCTTTTTCTTCTGCCGTTAAAACCCAAATTCAATTAGCTCCTCCATGCTCAAACAGAACTGCTGCTGCTGAAATTGTACTCCAGCAATAATTGCCATCCAAGAGTGATCTAATTACATACAAGTCTCAGTGGCTGCATTCCCACGTTGCTTCCTACAACCCGGATTCACTACAATGCAACTCATAAGTGAAAACCACATCGTTTTCAGCCCCTCTCCCTCAAGGGTGCACGACTTTATAAATGTGTACTGAGAATGGAGTTAGTCTATTAGTAAGCTTGCCATAAAAACCCAAGTTTCTACCTACTGTTAAATACAAAGGAGGAGAAAAGGCACTTCGGCTGCATGTAAAAAACCAGCTAATGGGCTAAGCTATACAAGGGAAGAAAGTTCTTTTAATTAAGGTACTGGATTAGGATTCAAAGACCAGCTTTGCTTCTTGGCTCTGTCACCAGCTTCCTGTGTGACCCAGGGCAAGAAATTTCATCACTCCACAGCTCCTGTTTCCATCTCTAAAATGGACAGTGACATTTCCCTCTCCTGGCCTTGCTGTATTTCTGTTGTAAGCAATTCCCCTGTGCTGGTATGTTGCCCTGGACAATAAGTATCCAATATTAATTGAAGCCTCCGTGCACTACTCTAATAAAAAGCTAAAATTGACTCTTCTCCCTTTCACAGCATCCTGGTGGAGTTTTGCATCGCCACCATTTGCCACTACGGCAAACACATCTGAGTCCCTGAGCAAAGCCCTGCTTCAATCCCTACTTGGAAATGGTGAAGGAAGGGAAAGGCCATTGACTGGGGTATCCCAAACATTCAAAGAGTAACTTTGTCCAGCACAGAACATCCTGGCCAACTGGAACGGCCCATTCCCTGCTAACACAGTCACTGTGCACAAGTATCCTGTGCAGCAGAGAGGCTGCCAATGACTTGCTGCCTTTTTTTTTTTCTCCTGTATTTTCTACTCTCACTGTAAAAGGAAAAAAAAAAAAAAATCAGTGCAAGGGTTTTGCCAGGTCTGTAAATTTGAACAAGACCATCTGAGCTGACTCTTAAGAGTTCTTGCAAGTAATTACAAGGTAAAAATGAGAATACTTCACACCTACATTCTGACTGAAAACTTCTCAGCCCTGCTGGCTCCAGGCTTTTAATTGTCAAAAGAGTTCAAGGTTTGGAAAGTTATTGGCATATTCCTAACTAGCATTGTGTCACTATTTGGCACGATTTTTGCTGGGATACCTCCCAACTCTGTGACATAATCAGAGGGTTCTCTACATTACACCATATAGTCAGATGCTCATGTTAGTGTAATGTGTTACCATGTTTAATACCATTTGCTATTACTTACACTTAATCAGCTCTGGAACCAGTTAAACCATATAGGAAAAGTAATATCAGAGGCTTTCAACTGACAGTTTTCTACACAGAACTTGACCTAAAATTACGACCTGAAGTTCGTAAGATGCGGTCTACGCAGGCAATTGCCTCTAAACAAACATTCATAACTCTCCACAACCCTGTGGGAACAGAAAATCCATAGGAAAACAGAAAAAGGGAACTGAAAATTCATAGGAAAACAGAAAAAAAAGGGCATAAAGGTAACTCTGTAGAACTGTCTCAACTAGAAAAACTGTCAGAGTTTCCCCTTCTGGCCAGCCTTAATTTACTGCTTCAGCAGTTTTATGCTCCACAATTACTGCAAAGCTCCAGCCACAGAGGAATGGCTGAGCACTCCAACATCAACCCCCCTTTAGGTTAAAATCCCAATCTATTGAGAGATTCACACTAAACTTACCCCAAGGTGCACATTCCCACGCACAGGTTTTCAAACAGACTCACAACTATACCCTCGAACTCATCAAATGAAAATTTTTTTTAAAAATGGTGAAATTACTAAGTATACAGGACTCCAAAACTGAGGTTGTGACTTGCAAAAATGATTTTTGGACTTCTAGTTTCATTTCTTACAGGACACAAGCAGGGTCCTCCGTGCCATCAGCTGGGTACCCAGCACCCCAAAACCTCTCATCACTTTTGAAAACTCCACTATTTACTTTCCTGCCTCTCTATAGGAAAGGACTAGACATTTAAATAAATGACATAATCCTTACTGCCATTCCATTCATTCATGCAGGTCACTATAATTTACTGCCAGGAAAAATAAACTTCTGCAAAATATTCCTCAATGCAAGACATTCAAAAGGCTCAAAGCAGGAGAGGAGGTGAGAGGGCTTCTAACAAATATTTGCTCAAGTGACTGCATCATCCATGAACACATTTGCTAGGGGAAAAAAAAAATGGGTGAAGAAATTTATGGTCAACATGAAACACGCCAGGCTGGGACAGGAAAATCAAGAGGGGGTAGAGAAGGGGAATTTTTAACCAGTTTCATCTCAGCAAGGAAAGGTTTTTAGAGCCTGGCAAGCCCCTGCAGGGTGAGGTGGCCAGCAGAGGACCACACCATGCAGAACTCAGCTCACTGCAACAACTGACACCCATCCCGGCAGCCGTTGCTGCTGCGCCCTCCATAAATTCTGTTTAAACAAGTGTTCAAACAAAAATGGCTTTGCCAGCTCACCTCAACCATGCCCAGAGCTCACCCTGTGACAAAATATTGCCATGGCCATGGAAATCCTCACTGCTTTCGGTGCTGGCTGCCCAAACTCAAGTACAGGTGAGCTGGGTGGTTCATGGGCTCTGAAGGATGAGGGCGGATGGTGGGGCTTTGGTCCGATGGCATCCTCATCCCAAAGTCATCTTTCTACTCCTCTGCTCCACAAAGACCAGCTCTCTTTGGCATTTTCATTAGTAATTTTTCCCTTTTGTGCCATCCAAGAAGCTGGCACTTGTTTTCTCTTGGACTTGGGTGTTTATGCAGATTTAGGTGGTCTCAGACAGAAACAAGACACCAAAGACCATCTAAAACAATGCACAAGTGATATATTTTTACTCATGTAAAATCAGTCAAGAACTAGGGAAATTAACATTTTGTCACATTTAAGCCCTATAAGCCCTTACAGTAAGATATAACACAGTAAGATATTCCACAAAGAATCTATGGAGTTGGGCTGTCACCAGCCAAAAATAGGATACAATAATCAAATTCATTTTTGCTTTCAGTAGTGATTGATCAAAAGTCCTATTGACGGAGGTTGTAACGCTCAGATCACCTCACAAAGGTGGAGAGAGCAAAGCCCATTCAAGACACACTTCAGAAACCATGGCTCAGATCCCTAAAGGTCCTATAAGAAAAGCCACACTGGTTATTTTGGACAGCAATGCCTTCAAAGTCAATAAAATTGCTCACACCCATCAAGGCTAATCAGCAAGACTAGTGGTGAACAGAAATTATTCCTGAGATTTCAAGCTCTAATTTAGCTAACCACTTAAATAAATATCTGTAAGCCTTATTAAAGTCAACAGGATTTAGGTATTAATAAGGTAATATTATTAAGCCTGGGTTTAATAGTCCTGCGTAATCGCAGCTTTGCTGCTACTTAAAAATTCAAACAGCTGTTTAGAATTTGTCCTCAGGTAAAACACTTCTGAATTTTTATCATCTGTGTTTTGGGGACTGCTCAGAGCCCACCCAACAGGCTCCAGTCAGATTTCAGATTTTAGTCTGCTGTGAATGCAAACTGTCTTTCCTGAAGCTCCAGATCTGCTCTAGCTGCAAAGTCAATATCTAGCTTTTCATTTAAAAAAAAAATTAATTTCAGCTATAATACTATAATAACAGGACTCTAAAGGATTGCTTGACAGCTTTCATAACTGCAGTTATTAAAGTCTGTGTTAGTACAATTGTACAAGTAATAATTAAATTGTAATACTAATGATTAAAGTTGCATCAGCATGTATTATTTGGTCGTCATGGCAAACTTGTGGGTGGATGTTGCACATGGATATTACACTTTTTGCCAAGGCAGGGGTAGATTAATCCTACAGGCACGAGTGAGACAGATGAATGTATAAAGTTATGCAGCAATTGGCTGTGCAGTGAAATCTTATCTTTGGAGCGCTGTGAAATCATCTCCAAAATAAACGCGGAACGCATCAGCTCAGTTCCAAATGCTTTCATAGAGAAAGTCATTGGTGAAAAGCAGTGTCCTGCCCACGAGAGCTGCACTTACCGACCACGTCCAGGTGGTAGGTGTGGTTGATGGAGCCGTACTGGTTCTCCACTATGCACGTGTAGTTCCCTTTGTCCGACGGCACCACGCTCTCCATGATGAGGCTCCAGTGCTGGTTACGGACCTGGGGGATGCAAACCGACACACTGGGATCTTCTCAAGCAGAGTTTTACCCTCTCCCCTTCCAAAGGAACTGTTCCCTGGATAATTATCCTTGTGTAATCCACAGCTGGAAGCCTCTCCTGCGCTTGTCTGACAGTTCTGGATGCTGAAATGATTTATGCTTGATCCAGGACAGCATGGCTGCAGAGTGAAAGCTTTCACACCCTCTGCTGTAAATCTACCTGGCCCCTGCTCCAAGCACTGCAGATGTCAGTGCACACTCAGTCCTCCCAGGCTGAGCAGGATGGCACCAATTAGCAGTGAGACAACTGGGCTTTACCTTTCAATCCACTCCAAAGTGAATGCACACCCTCAGGGTATTCCCCATCTGTCCCTAAAGAGCCACCTGGTAATAAATACCCATCAGCAAGACAGGATGGACATGATCTCCTAAACATTTAAGTCTTCAACCTTCCTAAAAGCTCAGTGACACAGCTCACATTTTAGAGAAATTGAGGGGTGATGTTTGGGATTCCTCCCAAATACCTCCTGCTGCTCTGGGGTACCACAAGAAAGAAATGAATCCCAGAATCATGCTGCCTCATGGAAAATGCCTGAAAAAAATCCTCATGGAAACAGCATAAGGATTATTTATCTCACAGAATCCCTCTCAGACGGAATTTATTAAAGGTACTGATTCTGTTCCCATTTGAACTCCAAAGGAGCACTGGCTTTGGTCTCACAGAAAATAGGATCCAGCCCAGTACTGGAAGGATACAGAGCCATCCTTTACATACATTTATTTCCTGCATCAGAATTTGGCTCCCAAAATGACCTTTTGCTGGCTATGGACTAATTCCTTGTTTTAGCATTACATTTTTGACAAAGTGCTCAGAAAGCTTAACATCCTCTGGAGCTGCAATGTACAATTCTTCAACTGCAAAGTACATATTTCAGCAAATGGAATAAAACACAATCTGCTACAGTCATTTTAATCAGCCAAATGGAAAGCAGTAATTCGGTGCTGTACACCAGAAAAATTTATGGACCATTCAGTGATGCTTCCAGTAACCATACATTCTTAAAACACCATTACAACTATAGCTATGAAATCCTGCATCGTGCCTGACTATTTTGCAGGTCCTTATCCAGCAGAAAAAGCTGCACAGGGCCACATCCCAGTGCCAAGAGCACTTGCTGGAGGTAAAAATGCCTCCAGCTCAAAGCTTGGAAGAGAAGTTCTCTCTATAGGCAATTCCTGGTTTTCCCAGTTCCCCCAGCTAGTAATTATCTCAATAGCTGGATATGTCTCTTATTGCTCAGTTGTGGACTAATAATATTAGCTAATGACTGGCCATGTGGGCTCTGAAAAGCAAAGAAAGTGTGGGCAAGAGTCCAGCAGGAGAAAGTGCTAAGCTAACGTCAGAGAAATGTGTGACACAGCCTCAAAATCTCCAGCCCAAACTTAAGGCTTCTCTCCTCAGCCCCTCGTGTTGATGGTCAAACAATTATATTGGTTTAATCAAAATAATATCTTGATTTTTCTCCATGCTGTGAAGAGCTAAGGGATAAGTTATAGAACTAGAAAGAGCTTATCAGTGTTATTTTAACATCTCATTGTTCTGCTAAGCAACTCTGAAAGTCAAAGTTTGGGTCAGGAAGAGCTGCTGTCACAAACTGTTGGTAAATAACAAATACAACAGCTACATATTGTGAGTATTAAATACTTCTTTGTGATTTATTTTGAAGGACACTTGGTCAAAGTGGCCTTAACTTTCTGCCATTACAAGTTAAAACACACTTCTGGGAATCAGAGTTTTTAACCAATGTGGCTGTAAAACAGGAAGAACAGATCACAGTTCCACTAAAGTTAAAACAAATAAAAATTGTAAACAAGCTGCAGGTAATTAATTTGACAGGAAAACACAAGAAATTGTTTATGTTCAATAAGAAAACATAACTTACAGCTACAAGTGGATATACTGGATGGGAATATTAAAAAGTATTTGTGCAATTTCCCTTCTTGTAACTGCATGGACAGAGATAATATCTTTATAACAAAACAACAGCTTAAGCCACTTTGGGTTAAGCTAAACAACTTCTGCAGAGGTCCAAAGCAGTTATGACACACTGTCAGACAACTGGATTTATGGCAGGGATCTGGATCCAACGAGATTGTTGGCTTGGTGCTTCGTGGCTACAAGTGCAGCACTGCAAAGCCCAGGAAAATCCCCCTTTGCTGGGGATGAGCTGCCTCTTGTCTCACTGAAGATTTCCAAACTCAACATTTCATTCTCAGACATGCAACAGCGCAGCCATACCCCGGGCACCCACACAGGTTGAAACACAGGCTTTGGTAATGTGGGGTTTTTATGGGAAATGCCACATCCCTTAGTCCAGGTGTTTTCCTGACTAGTTATGGACACTTCTAGCACTTTATTGGCAGGGAAATATTCTCCATCAAGGTTTGGAGGGATAGTTAAAACCATCTCTTCAAAAGATTCCATTTTTGAACTGAATTATCAGTACCAAATGTATATAAACTGCACTCTTAACTTATAGCCTGGAAGTGGGAAACAAACTGGAATCAAAATGCCAAGGAATATTGATCAGAGAACTGGGAAAGGGCAAGGAATTTTTCATATAAACTTTTTGCTTTTGGAGTATCCCATAAAGAACAGTGGACAGTTCTGTTCAGTGTTGAAATGTGTGTCTTCACCGGAGAGATAATGTCATGAAAAGTTGTCAGCTAAAAATGGATCAATTTTAAACTAATCTCAAAGGAAAGAAGGATTAGAAATGAAATAAAACTCCACAAAAGCAGCACAGTTCAGACTGTGAGAGGTACTGCTCAGACAAGGAGAACAAGCACAGAACACCCCTGGCAAAGGCCATAGGCTTGTGCAGTTGTTCCTGTAATGATAAATGTTCTTACTCTGTATTTACCTGGCTGAATTTAAATGTGTTTAAGACAACTGCAGTGATGAAGCTTATCCAAATGCATAGGTGCAAACACACACGTGTTAATGCTTAAACAGTACCAGCTGATAGAAGTGCATTTGCTTTCTGGGTGGTGTACAGGAAAGAAAAGGCTCCTGTGGTCTCACGGAGGATTTAGATTATCACCTCAAAGAAAATATAAAATGCCTCTAAAGGCACAAACAAGAGTTATCATCACTTCAAAAAATCAGAGAAAAAAGGAATTTATATATTCAATAACTGATCCTGTTCTCTTTATTTCAAGGAGGTTGGGTATATCTTGAAAGATCATAAAAGGATCAATTTTGAAATTCACCATCCAGAATTAGTCAGAGTGCAGGAATTCCGCCCTGGAAGCTATCTTGGCCAGAACATACACCCTCCTGCTGGCCTGCCCGAGTGCAAATTGACTCAAGACATTCCCCAGTCCCAGGGACAAAGTGCTACAGGCCACTATCTGATTCTGATAAAAACAATACACCATGGGATTTCTCAGCTCTTAGCAGGAAAGAGGTGGCTCAAGGATTACTGGGAAGCCTCACATTTTCTTTCCTTTCTCTTTGTCCCTTAAGTCTTCAAGTGATGACTGTCTCCTGCCAGATATGGCCAAGTTTGGATCCAGTTTTCTATCCTAAATATTGTGAATTTCTCCAGCAAAAATGCCTTACAGAGTGCAACACCCAGATTCAAGACAAGCTAATGTGCAAGATTTAGCATGAGCTGCTGTGACACCTGGTTAAACACAGACCAACTCTGATAGACTCAGTCCTTCCTGAGGACTCCTTCATTAAAAGTTCATTGGCATAGTGATGTCAGGAAAATACAATTCTCTCTATTTTAGTATGATTTTGCATGAGCCCACAGTGATTTCATCCTGCCCCCCAAACAGGATGAGGACACAGCTCAAAAAATAATAAAGATCTGGAGTCCCATTCACTGGGAACAAGCTTTCACCTTCAAAGATGATTATTCAAAATGACAGAATATAGAATAAACATGGATTTGGCTGATTTGACAATGGTAAGTAAATCCTACAAGATAATTTAAAACTTAATGTCTTTATGAGCAACAAGAAAAGTCTGAAATCCACAGCTGTGTGCCCTCTTTTATTTCCTTTAGACTAAAGAGATACAAGAAGTTATGATTTAGAATTAGAGGTACAGACTTCACAGGTATCCAGCTGGCTTTAGGAATAGGCATCTGTGGCTCCTTCCCAAAGGACATACCTGGGAAATTGCATACATTTAATACATGTGATCAAAAGCTTAATTTGTGCCACTTAATGGGCACAACTCTAAATTATTTCACCCAGCTCCCTAACACAGACTAGCAGCACCACCACAGAGCCCCACATGAGCTGATTTACCCCACCAAAGACCCCCCTCCCAAAGCAGACACCAGGTATCTCCATCCTGCCTCTCCAGACACACATTTTCCATCATGGCCTTCAAGAGTGATATCTTCATTTCCCCTCCATCAGATGCAAAGTGTTCAAAATAACAGCCTGGTTACTACCAGAACAGTTACTATTATTTTCCAAGACAGGATTAGTTTGGTTGGGGATTTTTTTTTTCCTTAATTGGTGCCTTTTTTTTTTTTTGTTTTTAAAAAAAGCACTGAGAAGGGCAAAAATCACTGAATGGGAGCCAATTCGTTAACACTCCACAGCGTTATGAAAGGCAGAAGGTGTTGCCAGGTGTACACTCGTAAGCAACAGAAATTTATGGTGTAAGCAAACATAGATGGAAAAGTCTACTTAGATAATTAGTGCTCATGCAGGGAGACTTTCTGGGCTCTGCTCTCTGCTAACACAAATGTTGGAAAAATTGACACTTTCTACAGTAAATCCAGCTAGAGAGGAAAGGAGAGTGAGGTTTGTCCTCCTCTGCACTGGAAAACAGATTTTGTGCACCGGGCAGGACCTGAACCAACAGCTCACAAAGCAATGGCTCAACCAAGGCAGCTCCCCAAAAACACTGCACCCATGGGGACAAGGCAGTGGTGCTGGATGGGGGCAGCCTCAGGACTCAGAATTGGGCTCTATTTAACAAAGACAATTAATTTGTGTCTAACAACGACAATTCATTTGTGTCTAACAGCCACTGCAAACTGCTCGGAGCAGCTCAGCACAAGCTCCAGGATGGGAATTCCAACCCTGACACAGGAGAACTGCCTTAGAAACTTCTCCTCCTGGGGGAGGAACTGCTGAGGTGTCGGGGACATGAGGAAACTGCTGAGGGAAGACCCAGACAGGAGGTGAAGGGGAGTGAGAAATGGCCATGCTTGAGCAGCAATTTGCCACCAAAGTCACACATTCCCGGTTCCTTGGAGGAGAGGGATCAGATGACCGAATCCTGACTTCTGACCTGACCCAGGCAGATACCACGAGGTTAAAGGTCTGTGCACTAACACACAGAGCTGGCCTCCCTAAAACTCTCTCTTAATCAGTAACCACCAACTCAGAATAAGACATCTAATCTGAAGCTATTTAAAATTCAAACAAACCCTTCCAAGTAATTGCTGTTACTTTCCCCTCAGATTCTTCTTCTCATTTCAGTTTCACAGGCCATAAACTCTATAGAAAATAATAACTTTTGACTTCCAAGGCTTCCTTTATTAAACTGCCTTACACTCACCAAAGCGGATGGCCATGTTTTTAACAATGCAGCCAAAAATGAATAGAGAAAAACAGTCTTAATCTGCTTTGCTAAGTCAGTCTTTGGTTTTCCAAATGCGTCTCTATAAATAATCCTTAGCTGCACTGCTAGGCTAGAAGCTTAAATTTCAGAAAAAAAATAAATAATTAGTGCTCAGTAAGCGCCAAAGAAACCACCCACCCTTCCCCAGAAGAAAACAACCACCTCTTTTTACTTCCACGTTTGATCCAAAGCCATTAAAATATTTTCTGTTAACTTCAGCAAGTTTTTGGTAGGTTTTTGGGTTTTTTTGAGAGGGAGGAGGGCTGGATTTGGGTTGTTTGGTTGGGGTTTTTTTTCAACAGCTTTGACCAAGAAGAGAAACCACAAAATGCCACAGTGAGCCCTTACCTTGTAGCCGCCAATGCGATGCTCCTGCTTGAACTCCTTCCCGTTCTTCAGCCAGCGCATGGTGGGCGTTGGGTTGCCCATGGCTGGGCAGCGGAACTTGACGGTGTTGGCGGCCGGCACGGCGTGGAGCCTCTTCTCCATCTTGTCCGTGTGTGTCCAGTAGGGCGCCCCTGTTCCAAAGGGACACATCCAGAAACATCAGCACCGGGAACTGAGCTCCCCCTCCAGCCCCTCGCGCCGGCGCACAGAGCCGCAGGAACCCGCCTTCAGCACGGTTTGGAAGGAGCACAGGGTGGCGATCAGCTGCTGCAAGTGCCAGCCAGGGTTTTGCAAACGGCTCAGTCTGCTGCTCTGGGTGTTTAATTTGTGACAAAATTCCAATAATTAACCACAGACAACTTTTGTTTTGCGTACGTCAAGTAAGACACAGGCACCGGGTTTTCATCAGACACTTTGGACCTCGAGCTGAGTTACTGCAATGGTTCAAACTCAGAATTTTTGGCCCTCACCTCTGAAGCCAGACAGACCAAGACAGAAAATGGCTGGAAGTATCAGTTGTTTCCCCTTCTGAGAGAAGGGGGATAAAAACACCCACCAGTCTGACAGCAGCTAAAGGCTGCAGTGTGTGATGCCAAGGTGAACTGTGCATAGAAACCACAGAAATGTATCTACAAATGGAACATACTTCTGAAATCTTAACCCAAGCAGAGGAAACCAAACGAGTAAATGTGGATCACCAAGAGACATTTATCATTTTGGAGGGGTTTCCCACACTAATGAGCCTCCTGAAGTCCAAAGGGTCAGTGACACCCAAAACCATGGCATAAAGTGAGAGTGCCTCTCTCTCAACACACATTTTGGAGGTGATTATTTTCCCAGACCCTGACATGGCTCTCCTGGCTCTTGCTCACCCCTTGCCATGTCCTGGCCCAGCCTGTGCCCACATGAACATCATGAGAAGCCCATTTGTCATGTACCAGCAGAGGAAACACAGCAGAACAAAATTTACAACTGCCCATATGTTTTTACCCTCACAGAAGTAAACTTGGACACACAGACCCAAAGACAAAGTTATCCCATGCTCTGGGTCCTTGCACAGCTTCATCTACATTTCTTAACGACTTCATGGCATTGCTTCAGTCATCTCACCATAACAGTTGTTTTTTTCTAAGTTAAAGATTCAAGATCTATTTAATAGTAGGAAACATTAATTTCTTTTACAATGGAGTTTTCCTGAAGCAAATCAGATTAGTGTGGAATTTTTAGGACTAGAGGGGTCCAGAAAAATAACTCCATTTCTCTCAGCCCTGTTTCATTTCCTTCATTAGCAGGCCAACACTCCACTATAAATAAATTCTTCCGTTCCTCAAATATTTATAGCAGTTCTTACAATCAGTGCAAACTCAGAAATCCTGCTACCCCCCCCCCCCCAAATAAAAATACAGCTGGACAGAAAATACAGGAATAAATCATTTAACAAAGTCTCTCTGAGTATAAAGAAAACATTCTAAAAGCAAGTCCTATAATGATGCTATGAACGATAAGTGTTAAGGTTTTTATTTTGCCCGAAGTGGCAATTAGTGTTAAAATTAATGAAGTAGAAAAGCAAAGCAAATTCATGCATGTAATCAAAATAGAAAATCAAGTAACTATTGAAAATTTTAACTGCAACACTAAGAAATTGTTACACAGACTAAAGTGAATTAGAGATGCAAGGAAAATCACTGTTAACATTATTTGCTAAAAGCAGGATCACATTAAAACAACAGAAGACTTTAAACAAAGCCAAGCAGAGGAATTAACTGCTACACGCAAGGGCCAAATTACATTACAAGTACACCAGGCAAAGGCAGAATTACATGCTGGTACTGAGGAATTAAAAAGCTGTTTTCCCTGGACTCCTCAAAAGTCTCCCACTGCTGGGCCCTACTTGCAGCTCCCACAAAGTCAAAGCAAATTGGGGTAGGTCAGAAACCACCAACCACCCAAACCAGTTGTATCAGCCCCCCAGCCAGAGCAGAGGGCTTGCTTAGCCCCAGGTGGGTACTGCCAACCCAGCAAGGGTCACATCATCCACCACATCAACCTCTCTCACAGTGCAGGGCACCAAGAGCTCACATGCAGCCACCGCCAGCACAGCCTCTGAGCCACGAGCTCCACAGCCCACCCAGGGCAAAGCTGCCCTGCAGCCCATGGGATGGAAGGGCCAAGCTCTGGGAAGCTCCCACCAGGCTGCAGGCTGGGACCAGGGCACTGGAGTCAGTCAGGACTCCAGCAGCAGCTCCCCAAATAAAACTGTTTCACACAGCCAGGTTTGTACTGTTATGGACCAGCCCATCCTCTGGTTTTCTTGAAAATAACTATCCTTTCCATCAACAACCTGCTCCCGGAAATGCTCCAATACAACAAATGGACAGAGGGAAATCTCTTGACAGAGATGGGTGCAAAAAAGAGGCCAGGCAGATGCAGGCTGGAATGAAGAGAAGCAGCTCCATTTTGTGGAACACCCCAGCATGGGAGAAAGGTCTGTTTGGAAAGCTTCTCCTCACACAACCCTCAGCATAACCTGCAATGCTCCTAAATTACAGGTCAGCTTGGAGAAAAAACATGCAGACATCACATATGGAAAGCACCATCTGAAAATGCTTCAAGACATCCTACGTTTGGCAGCTCCTCAGCATGTTTAAGAGGAAAAGGCAGCAGCATCACAAACCATCACACTTGCCCTCAAATCGTGCTTTCATCCAGTGATTGATCTGATTAACACGCAGCATTCTTCTTTATAGATTAAATCATCATAACCTAAAACATCTTTTAGTGCTTCTATTTGTCTTGAGAGGAAAAACACTGAGCTTCACTGAAACTGATAATGAACAGTTAATGAGTACCAGGTGCTGACTGCTCTCACGGGCCACGTCCATCACTGCCACCAGGACAGGTGATGTCGGTGCCACCACTGCTAAAAGCTCACAGTAAGCACAGCGCAGACTCCAGCATGAAGCAGCAAGGAGCAGCAGGGGAACGGGTGGGAATTCCTGATTGCTCAGAGTTCTCATTAGTGAGGAAAATATCCTGCTGACCCACACTGCACACACATTACATCTAATCAGCCAAATCTCCTGCATGTGAAATTGAAATTAGGAAGCCCAGGGGACCACTTCACTTCAGGACTCTTCAGTTTTTATTTGGACTTCTCTAATACAAAGAAACACAAAAGTAGTCAACTCCAAGCCCGCCTGACAAGCTCCTCAAGCAGGCAATAGAGAGCCATAAGTGACCACATCAAACCCCTCCAAGGTTTGCAGTACTATTGTATTTGACCTTTAATTAAAAAACACTTCTAGGCAACATCCAATTTTTGCTGCTCCCCTGAGTGGGTTTCCACTCTACAGGATTTGATGAATTTGAACCTTGTTTCATCCTTTCTGAAACTCTTCAAGGCATGAAAGGAACAGCATGTGGATTACATTTAGATACTTTTTGTTCTTGGTGCCAATTTACCATTGCTTGGCCCAGAAGAAATTGTTTAAAGGGCGATAAGAAAAAAAAAAAAAAAAAAAGTCATAAAGCCTCCAGTTGCCTGACCAGAATTCAAGGCAGAGCAGCAGCATCTTCAGGGCTACCCAGAGGTCTACAGAATAAATTAGTTGGTGGGCTTGATTGCAACCACCACGACAGCTGCTGCCTTGCCAGTATCGGGTCAGGAGTACAGAAATCCCTCAAATTAGGGCTACCTCTCAAAATCTCAACAAGGACAAGGCAGTAAATGCTAGCAATGTCTTTTCCACTGCTGCCAGAATGATGATCAGCACTTAAGCTTGTAAAAGCAAGTCCTTGGAGATGACCCTCCAAGAACCAAGCTAAGGCCCATCTTTAGAGTAACAAAGGGGAAATCTCGAGTGTCCAACAAAGGCATTTTGTGGAGAAAGGGGACTGTTTTGCAGTGGAACCAATCCTGCACCTTCCCCACGAGCACTAATCCCTTCAACAAAAGCTGGAAGTAATAAAAAGCCATTCAGGATGCAGTCTGGAACAAATCTACCACAGTGTTTTTTCAGACAGTTAAAGTATCTGTCAAGCTGAAGGGACAGCAAACGCAGAGTAAGATCTGCTCTGCGTGCCTCTCACTGAAAAATACTCACAGGGCCAGTGGTCAAATGCACATGGTACACACCAGTGCCCTCCTCTCCCAAGGAGGAGCTGCTCCTCACATCTACAGAGTCACCTACAGCCTCCACTGACTCCAAGAGCAATTGTATTTTCTGGGCAGCCTTGAAAATTGCACTAGATTTCCTCAACAGCCTCTCCACCTGCATTCAGAAACCGTGGCCTCTGAAATATGTATCTGCAACAGAGGCAAAGAAAATACAACAGCTTAAAAGAATACTTAGCAGTGTAAATAAAACAGCTCTAAAAGGTTTGTTTTAGTTTTAAGTATGCAGGAATGAGAATGCCAAGGTTCAGCTTCCTGTTGAAGGCACTACAGCCATTTCCTGCCTCATCTCATCATAATTAACCTGCCAAGACAGCTGGACTTTATCAGAATTGTTTCATCAAAAAGCAGCAACCTTTGAAGGCTATGGCCTTTTGTTTCCACCAGTAAAGGCATAACCGGGCCAATTTCCATTGCTTATCCTTAATGATCACAGCTATTATTTGTATGCAAATTATCAGTTAAATCATCTGAGATCTGCAAAGCTCAAACCATGATTGAGGAAACACTTAAAGGACTTCTGTAGAAGAGCAGCAGCCAGGGACCATTGTGAGGTCGTGGACTTTGCCAGGCTCAACATCCCAGAGGCAGGGAAGGTAAAGGGCATTTGGCCATTGTGTGCACTGCCTGCCCCACAGCACGCCCAGCTCCTGGTTCACTCCTCCACCCGCCTTGTAACACAGTACCTTCAATCACATGTGGCCTCCTGGATGTGATATAGAAAACTTGGAAGAGGAAAAGAGGGCTTACAAGGCACACCACACCAAGTCCCACCCCTGACTTCCACACATGAATTGCCAAATCACAACCCTCTTTCAGCAGCCCTGTATTAATCCAAGGGAGTTACTGTGAGGCAACTCTTCACTGAGCACAGAATGCTTGGAGGGACGCGGGTGCCACAACCCTTCAGTCATCATCCTGCTTCCAGCTCAGAGCCTGGGAGGATGTGCTGCTCCCCCAGCAGACAGTGGGCACCTCTTAAAGAGCAATCCAACAAGGAGTTGTTTCTGGAAAGTTCTGCTCAGGCCCAAATCTTTCCTTTTGCAGTTTCCTCCCTTCCATCCCCACGGCTGCGCTTTCCCCGCCATCCATGATGTTTGAACGTTCCTGCCTAAAAGGCATCTTTCACTGAGAGCAGGGAAAGTGTGTTGGCCCCTGCTGCAGCACACAGCCCTGCCCCAGCAGATGGACACTGTCAAGGGCCTTTCACCAGCTCCCCAATCAAGATTGATTAACAGTAGCTGAAAATGATAGCTCGTTTTACAAGAACGTCATCAGCGCAACCGCTGGGCACTGCTCCCTGTGGCTGGAAGGGCAGGAATCCTTCTGAGGCCATTACAGAGCACAGCTGCCTTGAGAGAAGGTCCTTCACTTCTCCCAAAAGCCATTTATGCTCACAGTGGATCACCAAAGCCATCACTGCAGATCAGAAGCACAATTGTCACCGAAAACATCACAAGCCCTTTTCTGACCAATATTAGTAAAGCTTTAAGGAACAGCAAACATCAGAAGTGTTTCCTAACAGGAATTTCTAACCATGGGTCCATCTCAGGGCAGAGCTAACACTGCCTGGATTGGTGAGTTTTGCCTAGACAACCTCTTTTAAAAGCAGTGTCCCTTTTCCAAGCTCTCCAATTCTCTTTGCCACTGCATTCCTCTGTCAGGGCAGCCTCCAGCTGCCTGATCTCAGCCCTTTCCAGAGGCACCTGTGCATCAGCCTGGGGTTAGTCACACTAACAGATGGCAGAGGCCAAACAGGCAGCTAGGAACTTATATCACTTTAAATAGCATCTAATGTTTCACAGCTCCAGGCCGGGGGGCAGCCGCACACAAAAGGCACAAACCACTGGGGCAGCCCAAAAATCAGGCTGTGCTTCCTCACCTGGACACTGCTCCAAGCTGCAGCTCCTGACCAGGCAGAGCAGCAAACACACCCCCTGCCCACTGTGGGTGCTGCTCACTGACATCTCCCCCAAAGGATTTCTGTGCTCTGTTATTGAGTTTACCAGGCCCCAGTGACAGCAAACCACCAGTCACCGAGGGGGTTCTGCAGCACTGCACAGTGGCATCAGGAGCCAATATGCATTTTATATTTTTTTTTTTCCTCTTAGAGAGTGCTCTATTTAGAGCTTATTAATAGCTTTATGAATTCTCTAAAGGGGACGGAGTTTAACACATTCAGATAGGTCTAAGATTCTTTTAGCCCATTTTCATCACACATAAGTAGCATAAAATGTGGGTTTAGCATTGAATCGCCTTCTTTACAACAAACCTTAAGGTTCTTTGCAGACAAAAGAACCTCATTGTCTCCAAATTCATCCTCCCTGGCGAGATTTCTGCTGAGATTAGGGATTTAAGGATTTTCCTCATTACAGCTTAATTTTTTTAAAAGTTTTCATATCACCTTTTAACAAAATGAGCTGGATCTTTGTTTCTTCTGTTGAATTTCTGCTCAGGTTCAGGAAAAGTTAGTTCATCTGTCAGAGTCTAAACCAGACAAAGACCAAACTTCGATTCAGAAAGAAAGGAAACTGCAGAAATGCCAGGAAGAAGGGAAAAAAAGAAAGTACAGACCAGAAAAGCACGTTCAAAAGAATATTAGTTTATTTTTATTTTTCTTTTCCAAGTTATGAGCTACGAGAAACAGAAAACAGAGGAGGACAAGATACAAAGATATTTGACAGTACATGCAGTTAACAATCAAGAAGCTCTGAAGACAGGAGTGCAAGAGATGGGACAAAATTTTCCACGTGGATCTTGCTAGTGACTTCTGGCAGTGACTTCTGTTACTTACTCATCTGGTTGCTGTCATTCACAAAGTCCTCGGACCCATCATTGTCGTCTTCATCATCCCCAGAGGAAAGAGCATCTGCACATTAAAAACAACCAAGTCTTTAAACCAGCCTATTTTTTTTTTACAGAAAAACAAATTGATAAGCTACATCTTAGAGTGTATATTAGGAAGAACAAGTGTTTATATTAGTTGTGCAGAAGGTAGAGAAAAGAAAATCCAGCCACAAAATCTGCCATTTCCATGTGAAATTGCAACAAAATTAGCTAATAGTCCTGAAGTGCTACAGAGTTTCCGAAGGGAGTTTGCTAATTGCAAAAATATTTCTGCTTAATATTTTAACTTCGGTTACAGAAATGCAGTTGAACACAACTGAGCATCTCCAGAACAACTTGAAGGATGTAGAACACACTCTCCAAACTTGAAGGATGGAGAACACACATTTTCCTCTTTTGATGCATGGGACAAAAACCTGTATTCATTCTACTGGTTTTATCATCATCATCACAGCAACTCTGTCTAATTTAATCCTGGTCAGAGTGGCATAAAACAGAGCTCTACAGCAACTGTTAATCTCTGTAGAGCCCATGGAGCAAAAAGGAGCAGATATAAACTGAGTCCATTTCAGGGTCAGGACAAGGAGAAAAATCCCCAAAAATCTGGGGATACAATTTAAAATTTGGGGATAAAATTTACAGCTACAGAACTCAACTCACTGTGCCCTAGTGGACTGTTTCATATTAGCTCATAAAGTGTCTTAACATCCCATCTTACAGCTTCTGCATGCAAAAACCTGTGTTCGACTCACTCACCTGTAACATTTACAATGAAGTACAGAGTATCACTGTCTAGGGTCCTAACAGCAGTGCAAGCATAGAGGCCCGAATCTCTGGCTGTGGCATCCTTAATTTGTAAGTACTCCCCAATAATCACTGTCCTATTGTCAGGCCCCAAAGGGAGCCCATCCTTAGTCCAACTGATCATGACGGCGTCTCGCAATTGACAGCGCAACTCAAGCGTCTCTCCTGGAAGTGCTGAGTAAACATCTGGCTGAGAGATTTGGTATTTGGTTGGCGGCTCTGCGAAGGTGGAAGGAAAGGAGGAAAAAGTAGAAGAAAGAGAAGGGAAAGGAGAGAATTTCCAACACAGGTCAGTCAAGGCCCTTTTCATCCACGGAAATCAAGTTATATATCAATATAACTTGATATATAAAATATCAAATTTTAAAAAAAATGTTTCATCCAGATTAGCCCAGTGTTCTGTGTTGTTAAACTGAACCACATGCAGGTTATTTTCAAGAAGTTCACCAAAAGTGAAGCTCAGGCACTTTTGATCGGTGTCTTGGCATGTCCCTTGTCCCCAGTGCCACACCAACACATTACTCCTCTCATCAGTCACAGAGAGCAGGGGACAATGGGGGTTGCAGAACCCGGAGGCTTCAAAGGACTTGTAAGAGAAGGAGGGGTCAAAAGGCAGATCCATCTTCTGTCTTAGCATTTGGGTCCACATTTCCAATTAATAATTATCTTTCCCCACCCAATTTTATTATAAGTTGCTTTTCAATTTTTAAAACCTGGGAAGTGCTGTTTTGAAACAGGATATCCAAAACCCCCTTCACTCACTAAGCTAATAACCATGAGTCCCGATACACAGTATATATATGATTCCTTTTATTTTTCTCCCTGTGCCCATCACAAAGTCTCTACATTTCCCTTCTGCACTACCAGCACTTCTCTCTCCATGGCAGTAACTTTTCCCTTCAAATTCTTTTTTGCTTCATTACTTATTTCACAACCTCTGGCCAGTGAATACAGCAGAAACCCAGGAGCACAGGCAAAGCTTTCAGAGTCTCGGTACGCGCAGAAGTTCCGAGCGCAATGGCTCATCCGTCAGCTCCCTCTGGTAACAAGAAGAATGTCAAACCACAGTCTTTTTCCAAAAAAACATCCTTGGAAAACTACATCTGCCTATAGTTACTAGACCTTCATCCCTGCCTTGCAGGGCCAGCTCTCAGCAGGGGGAAAGAAGCAGCAGCCCCGGGCACTGCAGACTGTCTCCACAGTGCAGTGGGAAGGCTCAGCACACCTACCACGAGCTCAGCCTGTCCCACAGACAGGCACTGCTTCTGGAACTGGTGTGTCCCTGCCACCACACTATCCCTGTCCCAAGGGCCTCGCCCAGGGAGGCAGGAATGGTAAATAAAGGAAAGAAGCACAGAGGCATCTTCTGTTTGCTCATGGGGAGGGTCAGAGCGCACAGACAGCTGCTCCCCACGCACCCCAGACACGTCCTGCCCTGCACAGGCACAACCTGTGTGCCCAGGAATAAATAAAACACCTCTCTGGCTGCTTGGGACTCTCAGGGAGCACTGAAAGGTGGCTCTTTGATGTCCACACTTCCTTCTAAGAATGCCAAAACCCTGAAACCAGTGTTCCTCCTCCTTGGGTTGTCATTTTTTGTATCACACTTTCAACAGGGCAGCCTGAAACAAACACCACATCTGAGCAGGGCTGGAGATGGGAGTTTGGAAATGCTGAAGTTCTGTCAGTAGTTGAGATTTCTGCAGCCCTGCAAGGAGCAGAGAGTTGGACTTGATGGTCCCCATGAGTCTCTTCTAAGTTGAAATATGATTCCATGAGCACCAGAAGGGTCCAGCATGGTGGGGGACTTTAGCTATCAGGTTCTACTGAAGGACTTGGAGACCCAATTTTCCTCCCACTCATCCTGCAATCCTGTCATTACAGCAACGTGCCCTATCAAAGCTTCTCCTGCCTTTTTCATTAGGACAAACATGTTTTCCCAAAGAACAGATTTGACACACACAGCACACCAAGGTGGCACATGAAACCCATCCCAACACAACCAGTTACAGAGACTGTAAAGCTTCTTGGATTTAGATTTTATAATGAGGTCTCTAAACTTTCCAGCATGCCGAGTTCCATCTCAAGAGTCTAGAACAGGCTCCAATACAGATTTATACCTCTTATAAACTAATTCAGTCTTGCTGATTTAATCACAAACCCACAGGTCTGCAATGCAGGTGTTTCACTGAGTGCTACATTATGCTCTTAGAAATAGAATTTCCAGAAGGAGCATGGGATGGGGTCCTTTCTATATATATTTCATCACAGTAATGAGTGTGTTAGAGTCTGCTTGAGAATTTTTTTAAATTAGATTTTACTATCAAATAAAAAAGGTACCTGATGCCAGTTACCTAATTTACTTTGAAGCTAGTAAGAATTCTTTGTAATGCTCTACCTGCAAAAAAAAATTTCTTTTACAAAGTTTACACTGTGTCAGCAATGTACCGGAGTCTAAAAATGTCTGTTTAAACTTCTTTAAAAGCCACCTTGGGTGATGATACCTCAAACTTCCTTTAAGTGCATTAGAGCCTTCTGCTGAACAGTGCCAGGAAACTCACAGGATGAGCCCACACACAATTAAAAGGAAATGAAAATGAAAATAATTTTTTAACATCACATCCCTGATTTCATCTCTTTTTAAACCACTAACTCCAAATTTGCACTGAGTCTTTCAACACAAGTCCAAATCCAAACTTGAGAACGGTAATTAATTTCAAAACTACAATTTTAAAAAATTCCTTTTACAAAGAAAATCACTGGCACACTAAAGGAAAAACAAGTTTCAAACGGGTATTAGCATTTGGTATATATTATCCTCCTCCATTTCTTTCTCTTTAGAGTATCAAGGAAGATGCAGCAAAGTGTTGTCATGATATAATGAAGTCATGTTTGGAAATTGTGAGTTATTTCAGGTAAGCCTTTGTGTTGCCAAACTAGAATGTAGCAGCACTTAAGACTGTCACTTTTTATAATGTTTGCCTATAAACTTTTTTCCAGTGTGGGTTTGAAATGGTGCCCAAAAGCAAACAGAGAACAGGTGGGATTCCGAGGCATGAATCCACCCAACAGCTTCACTGCGAAACTCAACCAGTTCAAACTGTTCAGAAATTCCCAGCAGCACATAAACAACCTATGCTGCAAGTTAACTCTCCCTGGGACACTACACAAGGATTTTTTTCGCTGCTCTGAAATTTAGGGACAAATTTTGCACTCATGTCCATGCTGTACCATCAAAGCAGCGGCTCCCCTGTGGCTGACAGCAGGGCTCTGTCCCTGCTCCACAGGCAAGGCTTGATGACCTGCTATCACATCCAGCTCCTCCAGCCCTCTTGGAAGCTCAGCCATCACCAGAGGCCTGTGAGCCAGCCCTTTGCTGGGTTTGTCAGGTTAGATATGAAGAAGTTTCTACAATGAGGGTGGCACTGGCACAAGTTGCCCAGAGACGCGGTGGATGCTCCATCCATGGAAACATTTAAAGCCAGGCCGGACAGGGCTCTGAGCAGACTGTTCTGGCTGAAGATGTCCCAGCTCATTGCAGGGAGCTCCAAACCATCTAAGGAGACACAGGATTCCTTTTTAAGCAGATCCTGCAAATCCTGTAACTGTGGCATTGGTTCCTCCTGCAGAGGTGCACTACCTGACATGGATTACACCTCTCTGTCACCCTTTAGAACACCAAACAAGCAACATGCAGAATGACTCTGGGTGTTCTTAAACACTGCAGGACAGGGGACACTGCTTCTGCTATTTTCTGCTCTCAGCCACATCCTTATTTGTAACAGTGGTGCACACAATGTATTTAAACTTTATAGGTGGAGCTGTTGAACAATACTGCCGTGGAAAACCAAGCTAAACAGCTGTGAACTTTTTCTCTGCCTGCTCATACAGCCTCACAGCATGGTTTAAGCCATCCAGCCATCAAGTGGGGTAAAGACTGTTTGCATAAAAGCCGTGACCACAATAGAGGACTGGGGACACTCTGACTGCTCTATTTCAGATGATTAAGATATGCAATTGTATTCCAAATCACGTTTCTGTTCCAAATTCGGTCACTGAGAGGTTTATACTTCCTTAGGTTTTAAATTTATTATTATCATAATTATTAGTCTCCATTTACTAAAAAGTTAACAAAGAGCTGCTTATCTTAAGTCTCAAGTCATTTAGTTACTTAGTTACAGAGCCAAATAATGAAACGATCAGCTAATAGCTAACCCCAGCAAAGATTCTCACACAACTCTCCAGAACACAAAAGCCTCAGACCCCATCAAGCCACTTTCACTTCAAAAGGCTTTAGTAAATAACTAAACACTCATCACAGTGTGCCCAGAAGGGTCAACAGACCTGACCTGTCAAGAATCCGAGAGGTTCATTGCAAAATTGAATGTCCCCACAGGGAACACCGGGCTGCCAACCACCACCACCACCGCTGCTTCTCCTGCCCCTCCCCATGGTTCTCCTGCCATTGAGGGACGTCCAGGAGACCACACTGGATGAACGACATGGAATGGGGATGTCAAATAGGTCTCATGACTTTGCAAGCCAAGCCCGAGGCTTTAGGAGGCTGCAGGAGGCAGCCCAGGTATCACCAGTCAGGTGTGCGGCCTTCCCTCCCACCTCCCAGAGACAAGATGATGTGATTATCCCTTAATTTAAACTGGCAGACCATTATCAAGAGGATCTCCATGCCCTCTTCTGACAATGGATGATAAAATCAGCCTGCAAAAGACACAGCCATCAGTTTAAGAATGCAGAGAGTCATTCCTGGCCAGGGTGACCACCTCCCATTAGCCAACAGCAAAACAAAGGCTCCTCAGACAAAGGGGCACAAAACAGTGTTTGCAATTCATCCATCAGCTGCTCCAAAGCCACTGCATTCCTGCTGTCCCATTTGTACTGCCACTATCAGCCAGCTGCCAGCTCTGCCCAGCTCTGCCTCTGCCAGGCACCATCAGGAAGTCTCTGTTCTGATAAAACACTTCCCTTTCCAAATTGCTACAGTTCCTCCCATAATTTTAAAACACTAACAATTCATTATTTTTTAAATCCCTTGTCCCTGAACAAGACTCGAAAGACCAAGAATCATTTCCCCCCATCTAATGTATAAAATCATTAGTTGCTCAAATCTGATTAAAAAGATCTGGGCCTTGTAGAAAAGCTTCAACACAAAACCTGAAAGAGCTATCCATGATGGTTACAAACATAAATATGTAGCAGAT